CCATTCCTCACGTCACATATCACCGCCGCCAATTAATCATCGTCCTGCCGGCCATCTTCTTCAGGCCACTCTCTCTCTCTCTCTCTCTCTCACTCTCTCTCGTCACTAACCTATTTTAGTCTTTGACGCTTTTTGTTCTGTGGCCTTGCCGGGAACGCCCTGCGGTCTTTGAAAACTTAATATGTAAATTAAATTTGTGTCCCAAATTATTTTCTATCAATCAGTCGACCAAAAAACAGTATCATCAATTTATTAGTGATTTAGCCACTGCAAACACATGGTTGAAAAGGCACAAAAAGGCTCCAATAACCACTTGGCTGCTTCTAGATATTTTTTTGGCCATTCTCCCCCGCTTTTCGATGTTATTTTCGCGTGTTTGTGGGGGAGCTCGGCATCACCCTCCCCTCCTCCAATAAAGCCATCGTAAAATGGGCGCTTCCGCAAATTTTTACGATGTTTTTACTCGTGCCATAATCGAAGCATATTATTCCTGCAGAAATCCTGGGGGCTGCGCGGAAGAATATCTACCTCTATCTCTGTGCCACGCGTTTTCCATTGTGACCTAGCAGGTTTTGGAAGGTTTCAGCTTTTTTTTGCAGATGTCCGGACGGAATAGCTGCGAAATAGCCGTACAACTCAACGAGTCGCTCGTGTATACGGTTCTCAATCTTGGTGCGTAGCGGCGAGCCTTAAATTGGGCTAAAGTGCAGTTTACCCCCCCCCCCCCCTCCAGCCGGCACCCACCAACCCTAGCTCGGCTCACTGTTGATCTACAGGTGTGTAAAATATACCAAAATACTTGCCGGAGCAAGACGAACATTTTGGTATACTTTACACATTTGTAGATGAACAGGGAGCCGAGATACAAAAGTTGGGGGCCGGCTGGGGGGGGTAACTCTAACCTTAAATTTTATCGAAGAATTTATTTTTAGTCCATCTAATTACATGCGTGCTGAGCGTGGTGCTGGCCTCAGACTACAGAATGCATGGCATTCTCGGGTTACTTCCACGCAAACGTCAAGGTCCGTTATTCTTGCTTGATCGAATTTTGCAATAAACATTCCAGATGCTGCTAACAACGATGCTCTGTCTAGCTGTCGTCCATGCCATCACGATGAGCTCTTTTCTGGTAGGTGCCTTCACTTCAGCAATTTTAGCATTTTTGTTCATGGCGATTTTTATGCAATACCATTTTTAGTTCTTAAACCTGTTCTCGTGGCTATTTGCCGACAGCAACTGCGATTCGTTGATGTTTAACGGCACGATGTGTCTATTCCTGCGTCATCCAACTAACGTCTGCATAGCAGGTATCCCGATATACTCTAAAAATGTCGACATTTGCTTAAACAAGTCTCGGAAATCCCCCAAATACTATTCAAATAATACAGGGTGTCCCAAAAAAGGACCCCTATAGCGGTCCGGCAAAAGGTCGGATCGGCATAATTTTTACACCATTCGAAAGCTCTTCAAAAGGCGAAAAAACAAGCGCTTTTCGTTTTACAAAATTTTTTTATCCCGCGCTCGATATTCAACGATTTCTTAAAAAAGAGCAAAATCAGCCTCGCCCTGTTTGCTTTACCAGGCAAATAACGTGCCGATTTTGCATAAAATTTGCAGTTTTCATGGCTTTTGGTCCAAAATTTAGTGAATTAAAATGACTATATTGGAAACGAAAAGTGCTTGTTTTCCCGCCCTTTCGAGAGCGTTCGATAGATACCCAAAATCGTCACAATCGGACATGACTGCGGCCCGCTAAAGGGGGATCGATTTTTATGGGACACCCTGTAAATTTCGACATTATGGATTTCGACATTGCTGTAATAAAACCGCATATTCTCCAACCTTTTTATTGCCTTATTGAAGACTGAATTCTAGGGCTTGTCCTGTGCCAACTTTCGATTGCCGTCGAACGAGTGGTGGCCACCTGGATCGGCCCAGAATACAACACCTACTCAAACAAAATTGGTCGCATTTTGTCGGTCTCGACGGTGGGTGAGAAGGCGGAAATCAACGAAACACCCTTCTTCTAAGCTGAAAGCCACGGTAATTCGTGACTTTTGCAGGTGGTGTGCGCGGTGGTGCTTCTCGGACCATTGCTTGCCTCGGAGACGACGTTCGAAAAGCAGATCAACTGTGGATTCCCATCATACACGGCCCAGACACATAATTGGATGTTGATGCTGGTAGGGAGACACTTTTGGGTGTTCTCCATATTGATCCCTATCAATTCCCTTCATTTTCCCTAAAAAACCTTTATCCTAAAAGATATTTGCTGACAAGGGCTCCGAAAACCGGTCCACGGCCCCCTGCGTTGATTACTGGCAAATAGCCAGATGCGACCTCAATGCGACCGCGCCGCATGGTCTTTTGCCCCTGTTTGGACGTGGAAACGCTTGAATTTTAAAAATTGTGACACTATTTCTGAAATCCTCACCGAATTTTGATCATTCTAGATTTTGAATTATGAAAATTGGTCAGAGAATCAGGAGAGCGAGAGATTGGGTGCGTCACAAGGCATTACGACATGTAATCGCCGCTGATTCCAAATGTCGTTTTCGCCCTAGAACTTTTCGATTTTACTGAAATTTTTTACATTTTTTCGAAACGAGATCACTCGTACTCCTCGGCAGTGACAGTGTCGTTTTTTGACCAGTAGTTTAAATCCCCCAGGCACTAATTTTTACTTCTGAGCCCCTTTAAAGTCAGGTGATTTGACAATCCCGCAACGAACTGGCGTTGAGAAAACTCAAAGAAAATTAAGGCTAAATTAAGCTAAAGAAAAAGATTTACAGGTAAACAGACAACAGGATTTTTTGAAAAAATGGAAAAAGCCGATTCAAGAGGCTCTGGCCTTTACTATGACAGGCCCACCTGCCCAGGGCGCGTTATTATAACGATTAATTCGAGTTTATCGTTCAATTCAGGAACTACTCGGCCTCGACGTGCTTTCCGTTGTCGTATTTCTGGGCGTATATGGGGTCAGCAAGTATATGAAGGAGGGGTAATAATTCTCAGGGCCAGTCACCCAACCTCATTTGTTCAGCGCAATGTTTCAACTCGAGCGGCGCTACCAGATTAACGAGACGCTCTACGTCACCAAACTGTTACTGCCGGTAGGGAGCAACAGCTTGACAGTCGATTTCAAATTCTTGATGTTGAAATCACAATCTCGAAATTCATCTGCCCAATATTTGGATTTTTGGAGGGTTTATTTATGTTAATTTTTCACAGTCTGACGAATCAACATTCTGAAATTTCGAAATTATGAAAGTACCGCCATTTTGAAGTCTGTTTGGTCATCTACGGAGATCTTGCAGGTGACATTCGTCCATTTTCTGCTCTTCGCCATCCTGTGTTCGGCCATCGTGCTCATCGAGATGTTTTTCCAGGATCCGTTTACCATCATTTATTATGAAGTCATTTTTTATGTAAGTTTTTTTGGCATTATCCTTGAACCCTACCCCAGACGGCTCCGTTCTATACGGTGCTCTTCCCGCTCATCATCCTCCACGTCATCACAAATCTGGATCGGGATCGAAAGTCAAAGGTAAGTTGCTGAATCGGGTATGAAAATTGGGGTTTTGGGCACGGACTTCGCAAAAAATGCGAGAATTAACCTTCGGCGTGCGATTTAAAATGGGTAAGACTCCAGATACCCCCCAGCCGGCCCCCAACTTTTGCATCTCGGCCGCCTGTTCATCTACAGGTGTATAAAGTATACCAAAATGTTGTCTTGCTCTGGCGAGTGTCTTGGTATACTTTAAACGCCTGTAGATCAACAGGGAGCCGAGATACGGTAGGTGGGGGTCGGCTGGGGGGGGTATCTGGAGTTCAGCCATCAAATGCCCAGAGTCGTTTTCGAAGCTCCCCTCCCCCAGGTTTCCCGAATTTCAACTCGCTTTCCAGATTACGGTGCTCGTTTCTGAAAACGTCACCGGGCAGCCAGGTACTCGGGCCCATTTCGAGAGTCTCGATCGAATGTGGGGATGCAGCACACCCGTGAAAGGAGGCAGTCCACGACCCACGCCTGTATAGTGCAATATTCGTTAAGTGTGAATCACACGACATTGGCAAGAGACTGCACTATACGCCGTTGCTTTGACGGTTTTCGTCCAAAGTCAATACTTATTAGGATTTATGCTAGGAACCGAGCCAGGTTGCCGCACAAAATTCTATCAAAATCTGAGAATCCCGACATTCGACATTCCCCGAGATTAGATCGGAGAGCTCTAGAAAGTATGGGTAAAGCTTGTTTTTCCGCAGTACCTTTATTCTGGAGGTAGACTACGAAAATGCCCAAATCTGAATTGGATCTAAAATTCGATATTTTAAAAATTCAACATTACGAAAATTTGAGCTCCTTCCTTTCACGACTCTTATCATATTTTCGAGATTCTGATCTTCTCGTTTTTTCCTCATGCTGTGCCGTATTCATGGAGATTACGCTAAATTATGATACCAATTTGTATTTTGTCCTTTCTTTTTTAGCGCTCCCGGTTCAATTGCAATTTTACATCGATTGTCTCGCAGACCCTTTTTCGCGTATTACTATGATGAGCTTAAGCCCAGATCTCGTTACGCATTTAGCTTGCAATTCGACAGTTCAACTTGTTCTTGCCTTCATCTCTTGCCACCCCAGTCGATCTCCCCCTGTTCGCTAAACGGGCCCCCTTTCAGTGTTTCGTGTATTGCTTGAATATGTTTTCCATGGAATTACTCAGAAATGTTTGTTTTGCCAAAGAGATATCTCTCGACCAGCCGATTGTCCTCCGTTGCCGAATTTGATGGGAACTAGTCGTTAATGCGTTTATCACCGGTATCAATAAAGCCATTTTGAGGGGTAGATCGGAGCACACAAAAAAATCAACCTGTACTACAAAGGGTTGCGTGGAAGAATATCTAATAGCGATTTCGTAAGAGCGGTGTAAAACCTATCACTTATCCGAGGGATTCTGATGCCCATTGTGTTCTGATATCGTTGTAGAACAAGCACAGTTTCATAGTCCCTGCTCATTCATTTGGGATTTCGTCATGCGCACGCGTCCAAAGTCGCCCGCGTACACGTCAGAACGCGCCTAAACTTATATTGCCTTGCTTCTGCCTCGGCCCGGCAAAAGCACCTTCATAAATGTGGCTATTGAACGGACGGTGAAATTGTTGAGTGCTTCATTGATCTGTTCTTGCTCTTCCTAAACGATAGTCTTATATTATGTGCCCTAGCGCTTTAAGGGGATGGGAAGTCGCTGGTTTCGGAATCTAACCTAAGCTTCAAAAAATTCTGGAATGATTTTGAGCAGCATAAAAAAGCATGTAGCGGCCAAAAGTGCGAAAAATCCAAGGAAAAACGAAAACTAGCGCGACGGCAAGCGTCGTTCGAAACCCCTAATCGGGGTTTTCAGATAGATTCGATGATTTCTTGATCAATTTCGCGTTTGAATAACCGATTTGGGGTAAAAAGCGCTAAATATACCGAAACCTAGTCAGAAATTCACAATTTCGTCGTTTTCCTTTGAAACCAGGGAAGGGATTTTTTGGGAGATTGAAGGCACGCCGAGTTAGACGCGCCCGCGGACTCTGGCTTCGTTCGAGTTGGCCTCCCAGGTCTATGCCTTCCCGCCCGCCTGAACAAACCGGATTCATCGTTTTGCAGCTCGCCATGGACATTCGGCGACGTCGTAGACCGTCTTGACCACCAATCGGCTGTGCCGGCACCTCCGTATCTTGAGGATGCACCTGAAAAAGAAAGGGGGTATCTGCGCTTCTCGCCTGGGCGCCCTCTTTCGCCTTTAGACACTTGCCAAAAAGTCTAACCCTCCGAATGGGGGGGTAAACCTAATCCGTCCTGATCCCTTTAGTCTACCTGTTCGGCGGCTTTTCTGTTCAGGTATGTTTCTTCAAGGCGATTCTCGAGCACCGTGAAAGTGCCGAAAATCCCGTTTTCCAGCGCCACATATGAGACACGGTTGACGACCTGAAAAGTAGGATTTCGCGGCCTACGATTTTATAGATTTCTGTGTTTTTGCACTGGTTCATCAAGGGGTACCCACCTTAAACACCGGCAACCCGAGGAAATACCAAATCTTCATCAACGGTGATCGCTGTAATGGCGGTAAGGTGGTAGTGTCAAGGCATCTCACCGGGACATTGTTTGGCATATAATCACCGAGCCCAATTGCTGTTAGGGTAATGAAAGAAAAGTAGACAGAGCCCTGGAATTCAAGGATTTTGCATGAGTTTCCATTGGATATCCGCCACCCAGAACGTCATCCCAGAGCCGCTGCTGCCGGCCATTGCATCATAGACCCAAGTAAGGAAAGAACATAGGAGCCAATATACTAAAATTATACATCGAGAGTCGAAGCGTTAATGAAATTCGACAGACAATGAATCCTTGTAGTATGACTAACATAATACTATTAGTGCGGTGATTGAGATGGGCAACACAATGTCCTCGTCGTCATCCAACTCTTCCCCGCGTGCCCGTCTGCAAATCGATCCAATTTTTGATTTTTCGATTCATGCCTAAATCGTGGAAAGCGGATAAGACTACGGGCCGCTAGTAGGTGCCTTTTCTGGGACACTGTGTCTAATTCATAGCAATCACATCATCAATCGCTTCGACTCACTTCCAGCGTATCAAAAATCGAGCATAAACCCTGGTCAATCCAACTAAAAACCATTGACCCAGATCCCTGATGACGACATTCGACAGGGGAATGAATATAATTGAATAGACGACGGTGAGCACCCGTCCCAAATCCGTCACTGGGGCAATCGTTCCTAAAACAAGGCGACTTTCCTGGCTCATCTAACCGCCTACCGTATCCGACAGTCATGAACAGATTCGTGGAATAGAAGACGGCCGACCAAAAATTCCACAGCATCCCGTCGTCACTTTGGCTTTTTTGGAAAGCCGATTGATCCCAGCGACCTTCAGCTTTTAGCAAATGCTGATATGCATCCTGAAAATCGAATTTGTTTCGGGCTTGCTTTTTTCCTAATAGCGCTTTCAATTGGCCACTCACTTTCAAAAATTGCCTCGCACCGCCGACCTCAGTGAAAGTCGAGTCATTGGTGGAGGCGCCATTGGCCATCTGGAAATGAATACCTGTATGAGGAATATCAGGATAATGCTCACCTCTACCGCCATCGCTTCCAAAGCGCTTTCTAAGGCGACGACGGCATCCGCAACATTCTGAGATGCGGATTTTTTTTAAAAGGCTGAACTAAGGCTGATCCGGCCCGCAGCCGACACCAACCTAATGGATCTCGGCTACGTTTTATCATACCCGGCTGAAAAGAGTACTAAAATAGTCCCCAGACGAAGACGAACGTTTTGGTGTACCTTACATCCTTATATGACAAAGGGCACCCGAGATAGAAAAGTTGGGAGTCAGATCGGGGGGCGGGGGTCATATGTAGTTTTATGAAAAACTGTATTGGTTTGGTTCTGCTTGTTGCCTGAGCTTGGATCAAACGGTTTGAAACGTTTTTCATTCGGGGGCCAAAGAGTGTTTGTCTAGCTCCGTATTTATACCCGTTTCGTAGCGATCGAGTGTCTTTCGCCTTTCACCAATTCCCGAGTCCCTCCCAGAAAGCTTACTCGGCGTTCGGCAGAGGATTCGGTCATCGAAAACATCCATCCTCCAAGTAGGGAGTAGGTGACGACAAGTCCGAACATGAGCAAATGTCGCAGTCCAATAACACGATGCTGGGCGGCCAGCCAGTAAAATGACGATGTGAACCCTAAAAATTTCGGAATTGTGTTTGATGCGGGCCCTACAAATGCTGGTAGCTGCTTCTTGGATCAAACTTACGATTTTCATTGGCTCCCGGAATCGGTAGTGCCGGTTTTGAGCGGGTGCTTTTTGTCGATTTTAGATCAGCGCCTTCCCTAATAGACGGTGTACACGTAAATTGAAGTATTCATACCTTGATTCCCTTAAAAATTTCTGATAATTGGCCGGGATGCGCGTCATCGTGTCCTGGTTGTTTTTTTGGAAAATCCCGGTCACCGAGTATTGATTATTCTCATAATATCGATCGATAGCGCTAGAAACCGCTCACTAGGTTTGTCGATAATAAAAGGTTTTAACGTATAACATCTAATACAAGTCGAAAAAAGCAATTACAACTGACCATTAATCCGCATGCCCAACCTAATCGCCTTAAACCTACTTTTCATTCTCTTCCTCCTCCCTTTTATTCCTATCCTGGGAGATTTGCTGGCTGATTCGTCTGGATAAAGTCCTATTTCCTGAAATGGTTGATTGCCGACCAAACTATGGGGTACGGTAGGGGGTCTTTGGCGTTGTTGGCACACTGCTGCCATTTTGCTGCTCCGTGGATGGTCGCGCCTACAAACAGAGTGGATTCGCTACCTAACATGCTCGGCTCACGTCTATTGTCCTTCCATGATCTTCGATCGATTCCTCAAAGACCGTCGGCACATCCGGAGCTATCGAAGCGCGACGCTAGGCGTTTCATAAAGACTTTTAAGAAAAAATATAAAAAAATTTTTTTTTTTTTGTGTGTGTTTTTTTTTTTTTTTTTTTTTTTTTTTTTTTTTTTTTGGGGGGGGTTTTTTGGGGGGGGATTTATTTTTAATTTTTTTATTTTTTTTTTGTGGGGTGTTGGGGGGGGGGGGGGGGTGGTTTTTTTTTTTTTTAAAAAAAAAATTTTTTTTTTTTATTTTTATTTTTTTTTTAAAAAAAATTTTTGGGAAAGAGAAAAAAAAAAGAGAGGGGGGGGGGGGGAAAAAAAAAAAAAAAAGGGGGGGGGGGTTGTTTTTTTTTTTTTTGGGGAATAAGGAAAAAAAAGAAAAAAAAAAAAGGGAAAAGGGGGGGGGGGGGGGGGGGGGGGGGGGGCGCCCGGGTCTACTGAATAAAAACGCTTGATTTTCTAAAAGTATCGCAACCTCTTTTTAAAACATGGCTGTGAAGGGGGCCCACACTAGTTCGCGACGGGAATTGCCCATTGAAATTGAAGGGCCTGGGAAAAACAAAATCAACACTTAGGTGTCTACGGATTTAACGGTGTTAAGGGATAAATAGTAATAATCTTTGCCAGGACGGACGCAACTCAAATCTGCCCAAAATCCACTGATGTTTCGGACCACCCCTTAAAAACACTGCTCGGGGCAAATACGGGCGGAACGTGGCTACCAAAATCAAGCACGTCAACTCACAGGCGATGTAGCCCATAAATGTCATAGTGACTTTGTGCAAGCCACACTAGATTTTGAAACAAGGCAAAGTGAAAATGTACACCTACCTCAATCATAGCTCCAGCCGGCCTAGCCAATGGCTCTTGGGAGCGAGCGGGCGTTACCAAGAAACTATCCACACGGCGGCGACCTTCCATCTGTGTGCTGGCCAGCTCGCACACCGACCGACCGGTGATCACTTCTACGACGCGACAAAAGGAGTCTATCGTCCGTGGGGACAGCCGCTTGCTTGAGTATTGTATACGGGGTTGTGTGACGGCATGGCCTTGACTTCGGTCCTTTCCACCCATTTTCTCTTCAATAAACATCATCGCTCCCACACGCCCACACACCACCGCTTATCTATTTTCACCTATTTTCCACTCGACTCCACGCCTATCACCAACGAACCGGTTGCATCCCGGCGGCGGCAGCAATTTCGAGGGATCTGCGGTATTAAAATTGGTGATTCTTGGTGTTAGCAGCCTGGTGTTCTGTCTATTGGCGTGCGGGGGGAGGGAGGGCTGGAAACACACCCCAGTTCTCTGGATCAGGGAGGAAGCTACCCCCAAGTTTGGGGGGGGGTAGGGAAATTACGGATGTCGGGGAGAGCTGGAGTTTCCTGGGCTAAAAATTTCTCAAAATAACAGCGCCGCAGACCGAAAAATGCAGTCCAATTTCCCCCGCTTGCCTGCCCATTAAATCGGCCGTAAAGTTAGCTGAAGTTGGCTTTGCTTTCCTAAAGGCGTCCGGACGTAGGTTGGCCCAGTGCGGTGTTTGAAGCGCGCTAAAAAGTGACGGGAATGAGCGCTTCGTGGTCATCAAGAAGCTTCTCAAACAAGTCAAGATTTTAGATTTTATTTCAGCGAGCTGTCCGTAAGGCATTTGAAAACATTAATGAACTCATCTGCACATAAGCAACTTAAAATCTGCATCTAATAACGGTTACTTCCGGTCATTTTGCTTGCAAAATACGAAAATCTTACAAAACTTCTTGTAATAGCGCCTTTAAATAAACACATGGTTGGTTATACAGACGGATGCAAATTGCCGTCCCAAGGCTTTTTGAATGTCATAACTATGATCCCGATCCGATCCTTAGCCGTATGACTTAGGCCCTGGCCCTAAGCCTAAGCCTTTCCCGCAAGCAGGGGCGTACACGACCCGATTTTTTTTGGGGGGGGACAACTTGAAAATCATCCCCGCCCGGTCTCCAATTTCAAAACATACGGATTTGCTACTATGACAGTGATGCAGGCGAAAATCCTTAGAAAAAAGCGTTCGTCACGCTCCATTTCACGTGAAAACATCACGAAAAGGGCCGAGGCAAGGATTTATAAAAAGTCGTAAGGGGTCTTCTTATGGACTTTTCGACTTACGGCTAATTTGGGGGGGGCAACTTGCCCTGTTCCCCCTCGTGGGCTGACCGCAAGTAACCGATCGGTCTGTGCCGTCTCTATCTCTTTAATGGGTCGATAGTCGGCCTGCACAATGATACAATAAGGCTTAGGCTTGGAGCTTGGAGGCTTAGGCTTGGAAGCAGGCTTGGGCTTGGGCAGGCTTAGGCTTAAGCAGGCAGGCCAGGCTTGGGCTTGGAGGCTTAGGCTTGGGCTTGGGCTTGGGGCAGGCTTGGGCTTGGGGCAGGCTTGGGCTTGGAGGCTTGGGGCTTGGAAGCCAGGCTTAGGCAGGCTTGGGCTTGGAGGCGGAGCGGAGGCTTAGGCTTGGCAGGCTTGGGAAGGCAGGCTTGGGCTTGGGCTTGGAGGCTTGGCAGGCTTGGAAGCCAGGCTTGGGCTTGCAGGCTTGGAAGCCAGGCTTGGAGGCTTGGAAGCTGGAGGCAGGCAGGCTTGGGCTTGGGCTTGGGCTTGGGCCAGGCAGGCTTGAGGCAGGCGGGCTTGGGCTTGGGCAGGCTTGGGCTTGGGGCTGGGCTTGAGGCTGGAGGCCAGGCTTAGGCTTGGGCAGGCTTGGGCAGGCTTGGAAGCTAGGCAGGCTTGGGCTTGGGCAGGCTTGGGCCAGGCTTGGAGGCAGGCTTGGGCTTGGAGCGGGCTTGGAGGCAGGCCAGGCTTGGGCTGGGCTTGGGCAGGCAGGCTTGGGCCCAGGCAGGCTGGCCAGGCTTGAGGCTTGGGCGGCTTGGAAGCAGGCAGGCTTGGCAGGCTGGGAGCAGGCTTGGGCTTGGGCTCGGGCTTGAGGCTTGGGCGAGGCTTGGGCCGGGCGGGCAGGCTTGGGCAGGCTTGGGCTGGGCTTGGGCTTGGGCTTGGACGGCAGGCTTGGGCAGGCGGGCAGGCTTGGGCTTGAGGCCCAGGCGGGCCAGGGCTTGGGGCTTGGACAGGCAGGCCGGAGGCAGGCTTAGGCTTGGGCTTGGGGCGGGCTTGGGCGCAGGCAGGGCCCAGGCTGGGCGAGGCAGGCTTGGAGGCCAGGCTTGGGCCGGGGCTTGGCAGGCAGGCTTGGAAGCTAGGCTTGGCAGGCTCAGGCTTCGGGCTTAGGCTTGGGGCTTGGGCTCGGGCTTGGAACGGGCAGGCTGGGGCTTGGAAGCAGGCTTGGGCTTGGGCTTGGCCTTGGGCAGGCTGGGGGCTGGCCAGGCTTGGAGCCGGGAGGCTTGGGCCAGGCTTGAGCTTGGAGCCAGGCTTGGGCAGGCAGGGCTTGGGGCCGGGCAGGCTCAGGCTTCAGGCAGGCCCGGAGCGGGCAGGCTTGGGCAGGCCAGGCTGGAGGCAGGGCTAGGCAGGCTTGGAGGCCGGGGCAGGCAGGCTTAGGCTTGGAAGCCAGGCTTGGAAGCAGGCTTGGGCTTAGGCTTAGGCTTGGGCTTGGGCTTGGGGCAGGCTTGGGCTTGGAGCGGAGGCTTGGAGCAGGCTTGGGGCTTGGAAGCAGGCTTGGGCGGAGGCCGGGCCCAGGCTTGAGGCTTGGAGGCTTGGGCTTAGGCAGGCTTGGAGCTTGGGCTTGGGCTTGGGCGGCAGGCTTGGAAGCAGGCGGGCGGGCTTGGGCAGGCTTGGGCTTGGAGGCTTGGGCTTGGAGGCTTGGGCTTGGAGCTAGGCTTAGGCTTGGAAGCGGGGCTTGGAAGCAGGCTTGGGCTTGGAGCTTGGGCCAGGCAGGCTTGGGCTGGGGCTTGGAAGGCGGGCTTGGAGGCTGGGCTTGGGCTTAGGGCCAGGCTTGAGCAGGCTTGGGCTTAGGCCTGGGCCGGGCCGGGCTTAGGCTTGGGGCTTGGGCAGGCAGGCTTGGGCTTGGGCTAGGCTTGGAAGCAGGCTTAGGCTTGGAGCTTGGAGCTTGGGCTTGGGGCTTGGGGCTTGGGCTGGGGCTGGGCTTGGGCTTAGGCTTGGGCTGGGCAGGCAGGCTGGGCTTAGTGGGCTTGGAAGCAGCCAGGCTTAGGCTTGGGCAGGCTTGGGCTTGGCAGGCTGAGAGCAGGCTTAGGCGGGCTTAGGCTTGGAGGCTGGGGCTTAGGCTTGGGCTTGGGCGGAAGCGGAAGCAGGCTTAGGCTTGGGCTTGGAGGCTTAGGCTTGGGCTTGGGGCAGGCTTGGAGGCCAGGCTTGGGCTTAGGCTTGGGGCTTGGAAGCGGGCTGGAGCGGGGGCTGGACCAGGCTTGGAAGCGGAGCCAGGTGGCAGGCTTGGAAGCGGGCTTGGGCAGGCAGGCTTGGGCTTGGGCTTGGGCTTGGGCTTGGAAGCAGGCTTGGGCCCAGGCTTGGAGGCGGAGGCCGGCGGGCTTGGGGCTTGGAGCGAGGCGGGGCTGGAAGCAGGCTGGGCTTGGAAGCTTGGGCTTGGGCGGGCTTGGGGCTTGGGCAGGCTTGG